AAGAATTAGGATTGTACTCCGATGGGAGTTTATCCTGTTTATTTGGCTGTCTGGCTTCACATAAAATAAATAAAATAAAATAAATATTTTGAAACCTTGGGTTTTTTTCCTTAATAAGTTAGTTTTGCCCTTTTGATGATCCTGCCATTCTTCACATAAAATAAAATAAATAAATAATATTTTGAAACCTTTCGCTATTTATATTAAATTAGTCACTATGTATAGCATTTAATAAAATTTTAAACTATCAAAACTTTCCCCTTTTTAAAATTTAAACTTTATCGAAACTTTTCCTCTTTTAGAATTTTGAACTTTTTCGAAGAAACGTTTAATAAACGATTTGATTTTTTATTTTTTTATTACTAATTTTTGTCCTTTTTTAACATGTCAATGACCAAAATTTTTTTTAAAAAAAAACTTTTTCTTTTAATCGGAAATTCTTAATTTTTTATCATCTTTTTTACTTATCAATTTACTTTTATTTTTGAATAAAAGCATAGAAAGAAAAGGATTTTTATACTGTAATATTGAAATAATTTATCTTTTTTTAAAAAAAGAAGGAACTGACCATTCAGCTGAGTATATTTTACCAAATCCATCTTTGTAGAGAAACCAGCTCCGAAATGATCCGAAATGGGCGCTGGATTTCCAAGTTATGGTTTAAAAAAAAATTTTTTTTTTATCCCAGGTAAGTTTCAAAAGAATGAATTCTAGACTATTAAAAGAAATCATTTCTGACCTTTTTTTCTTTTTTAGGAAATCGGCTTCAACATGAAAACCGGAAATCCCAAATATTGAAAAAAATATATTCAAAGCTTTTAATTAAATTTTTTTAATTTTCCTTTTTTATAGGAATCAGCCTCAAAAATCCAAATAAGTTATGAAAAATAATTTGAAACTTTACAGTCCAATATTCCACAGTGTTCTGAAACTGATTTAACTTCAGTTGAAAAAATCTTCGATAATCGATTTCATTTTCTAATTCATGATTTTTATTTGAGAGTTTCTTTTCAAGTTTACTCATCAAATTTATACACCCCAAGAAATTTTTTAAACTTTCTTTAAACGTTTATTATAGAATTTTTCTAACTATCACCGGGGTGATGATCACCGGTGGCTGAAATTATGACGATCAACCAGCATTAAAAATATAGTGCCGGTAAAAATTGATGTTTCTGGCCAAAACCTGCCAAATGAAGTTTTAAAAAATTTAGTAATAGCATTTACTTTTGCAATTAATTTAAAAGCAAAAAAATATCCCATTATATCACATGTAATCAACAGTACAAAATACATCTCATATCAATTAAATTTAGATATTTTTTTGGCGTTTAAGCTATATTTTTAAAATTAAAATTACAATACAAGGTTGGAATTTCCTTAAGTTTCAGAGACCGAACAAAAATGCACTTTTTAAAAAAAAAAAAAAAAAAAAAAAATTTTGTTTTCGAGTGTTTTATTATCTTTGAACGAATAACAAATACAAATACGAATTCGATTTCGAATGAATACAATTTCGAATATTAAATACAATTTCGAATGAATGCAATTTCGAATAAATAAATACAATTACAATTTTGAATGAATAAAATTAATTTTTTTTTTTTACAAATAAAAATTAAAAATTAAAAAGATAATAATAATAAAATTATGCCATGATAAAAAAAAAAGAAATGTCATATTATTATATTTATTCACGATCATGAGCGTTATGTATATAAAAGGATTTATCTTGAATTTTAATATTACCCCTAGAAATTGCTTTTTGGCATGATTCATAATTTGAGAATAATGCAAATGCGTAATTACTCTATATTTATAAATTTACATATTAATATAAATATATAAATATTACATCAAAAAAAAAAAATTACACCGATCATATAATAAATACTTACATTCGGGATTAATTGATACACAGAATCAACGTGTCCGAATATTTCATTTAGATGATTTTTTATTTGAACTATTGGAATATTTGGAGGTAATTGTCCGATGAAAACTTTATAAAGGGGTCTAATACCTATAAAAGAAATATATATATATATATATATATTAAAATACATTATTGCAAATATACATTACAACTTTGACGCCATTTTCCGAAAGTTACCATTATTATTTTCGTTCATAATATTCGTAATATCATTTGATTTTATCAAATCATTACCATTTACTACATTATTAGTAGTATTATTTTCATTACCATTTTTCTTTTGTACAATGATTTCGATCAATTTTTGTTGAGAGGAAATCAAATTTGCTTGATCATTAATCATTTGTTGTTTATCTTCGAATGATACCCTAAATAATTGTAAAATTGATTTGATTTTTTCTTCATTATTAAATTCTCTACTACTAATAATATTTGTTATGTATAGTTCGTTAATCATTTGAGAAATCATCTTTAAAATATATTTAAGAAAAGGTAAAGTTTATAAAAAAAAAAATATGAATTAAAATAAAACAAAAAAATGAAGAGAAAAATCTACCGAGACTTATATCATCTTTTTTTTCGGAGTATCGGGAAATTCCGTTTGTCCGATATAACTACTCTTTGTGTTATTTATTTGTTTATATAAATACCGTTATACGTTATACGAATATGTATACGAATGTATAAAATGAGTAATACATGTTTATAAATTTAATCATTTTTATTTGGCTGAAATCTTTTATTAGGGGTACTGTTAACATTTTTTTTTTTTTTTTCGGAATAGCTTATAATAATTTTGGGTTTAATAGTTTTAACTTAGTTTATTTAAAGTTATATTATTTTGGTATATCAATTTAAAATAATTTATTTAACCCTAAAAAAAAATTTTTTTTTTTTATTTATTAAATTCCAAATTTAGAAATCAGAATAAATATAATAATGATAAAATAATTTATATAAATTAATATATATTTTCATTTATTTCGATATATATATATTTATAATGAATTTTTTATATATATACAGTATTTATAATGAATTCTTATATATATATAGTATTTATAATGAATTTTTATATATATATATAGTATTTATAATGAATTTTTATATATTTAATTTTTTTTCATCATCATTATTTCATTTCATTTACCGTATAAAAATTTGTTTTCTTATTTGAGAGATTATAAAAGGAAAAAAAAAAAAATGTTTAATATTGCGTAATATGTATGAAATGCATTATGACGCTTACTTATGACGTTTATGATAATCCCGTTCAACTTTTTCATATAACTGGATCCTTACCAAGAATGTGAATCAGAATCAACATGAAAGTAAATCAGAATCGGAATATATATATANGTATTTATAATGAATTTTTATATATATATATAGTATTTATAATGAATTTTTATATATTTAATTTTTTTTCATCATCATTATTTCATTTCATTTACCGTATAAAAATTTGTTTTCTTATTTGAGAGATTATAAAAGGAAAAAAAAAAAAATGTTTAATATTGCGTAATATGTATGAAATGCATTATGACGCTTACTTATGACGTTTATGATAATCCCGTTCAACTTTTTCATATAACTGGATCCTTACCAAGAATGTGAATCAGAATCAACATGAAAGTAAATCAGAATCGGAATATATATATATAGGTGATTAAACAAATTACTAATTGTTTATAAAAAAGGACTTTTTTTTTATAAAAAAAAATATGTAATCAAAAATCATTATGCATGAACATGATCACGATGTACCTCAGACAGAGTATCACGATTTTATCAGAATCAATATTTGTTTATTTATTTGCTATTCTTTATTTATCGAATTTAACGCCAAGAAAGGGGAGAACACATTCTCTATCTAGACTAATATTTGGAACAAAAATTCGGGCTGTGTAGCCGTTATCAGGATAATACCAGATATGACGATGACTGAAGTATCATTTAAGGAATAAACGGTTCATAAATTCCTAAACTTGACGTTTTCCATCGTAACTTGACTTTGTTAAAAATATAAATTACCAAAATATATTTATATCCTGCATATTTAAAATATTTGTAGCCTGACAAAAAAAGTATCTATATTGTTTTAGCCGATTTATTAATAAATAACTACCACTACTTATTTTCGTGTATTAAATATTTAAATATTTAAAAAAATTATACACATATGGTACATATGGTACATATGGTATAAATGTTTCACTTTTCCTAACATATTCAACATTTTGCAAGCCAATCGCATTCAGATGATTGATCATGTGATATTATTGGAAAAATCTCGCGGTTTCCTGTTCTTTCCCAAAATATTATGTAATATACCAACAAGGAGGTAATCACGGCTATACTTTTTTGGTATAAAATAGGAAAACTTAATTGATACTAAACTATTTTAGAAACATTTTCAGGAGAAAAACAATGATAGATAAAATAAATTAATCTGATTATGAATTTAGAATATTTTTTTTTTGTCATACGGAAAATTAAAGAAATCTTGTAAAAAAATTGTTATTGTAACATACCACAATTCTTGCAGGTTGAGTGGCTTGTCAAAATTCGCAGATTATTTCGAGAAATGAATTGTGCGACGTAACCACTAATGTTAACAAGTTACAGTAACAATAATTTTTCTCTGTCCCACTCGGATAAGGGTAATCAGAGAATCATAGAATGATACAATGGAAATAAATAAAAATACTATAATTCTGTCGTACATTATATTTATTACTAATTTATTATACTTTACGAGAGGATTAATTTATTTATTGAATAATGTATATGATAAAATATCATCAAATGACTGGATGATTATATGATAAAAAATTAAAAATCATTGACAATATTAAAACTATGAAAGGTATACTTTTGTATAAATTAGTATTTTTTTTTAGAAAAAGGCGAACTTATATTAAAAGAAATTACTTCATATCGAATGGTTATTTTGATAATAACATTATATTTTATAAATTTGTTAGTTAATATTTCACAACCAATTAAAGTTTTACATTTATGAATTGGTCGTTTAATAGGTAACGAATTTAGAAACAAAAACGACGAAATATGTCGGTTTCTTTAAAATACACGCCAATGTGTAATAAAATAACTCACTCGCAAACTTTCCTTTATAAATATTAAACATTTCGTTGCACATTAATATTCTTTATGCACAAAAAGTTAATACTCAATACAGATAATAGAACCATATAAAAGTTGTTGAAATTTTTCGGTAACGTGAATTGAAATTTACTGGTCAGGCTTATTTTATATACCATATATTTTATAAAATATATTTGTAGTTTCTAGTATAAACAAAAGAAGCATTTACCGCATTGACCTAATTATTTTTCTTTTTTATTTTTATAGAATTTTATGAAATTATTGGTGTTTTCAAAATTTTGAAATTGATAAAATTTTCATTTTTTTTCCCCATTGAACAGTCATTGAACATTTCCAGTATATTTTCCGTATAATTTCCGTGTATTAAACAATTATGTAAGCAAAATATAAAAAAATATAAGCTTATATTTGTAAATAAAGTTTTCGGTTGTAACGCATATAAATTAACTATCTCTAATAATAGTAGAATACAAATAAAGGACGAATTAATAAAAACTATATAACCTAAGTCCATCTTATTCTGAGCAAAAAAAAGCATCTCAAAAATTATTTTTCATGTTTAAACAATATACTTTGATTACGATATTCTTTGCTCACCAAGATCTCTCTTTAAGAGACAGTTCATTACATAATAATCGCCAATTCGTCTTATGATACGTTTCATCATACATAAATACTTAATAACAATACCGACTACATAAATATCAATAAAAAGTGGAATTGATAAAAATATTAATGACTTAACCCAACCATAAATGAATTATTATTATTATTTCTAATTTCTATAATTAAATCATAATTTATAAAATTTTGAGCCGCAACAATTTTGATGGCTAGTCCAGAAAATTTTCCGCAATCCCGTGACATACTTTTAAATCATTACAGGTGTCACAAGTATCACACCCATCGAGTTTCCACTTTTATATTTGTGAAAAGTTATTTGTCTCACATTATTTGTCAGTTTACGTTCACGTGCTCGTGCATAGTGCCGTAATGCGGGCCAATTGCGGAATTTTTCGGGTGTTACTAATACTGCGGACTACGGGTTTAGTGTAATTTTTGCGGATTTTCGGAATCACATGATGATCACGATATTTTTAATATTTGAAGTGATTGGGTACCAAAAGGGCGGAACAGAATCACGTGATCATAGTTGATTTTTTCTACACCTAGGACAAATGTCTACGCACTATGAAAAAAAAATCGATCACGTGAATTTATCTTTCCGCTCATCCAATGAAATTGCAAATTTCAGTTTTTCGCCAATGGTTCCCGTTCCTAGTTTTAAAATTTTACGATATATTTTACATTTATAAAGAGTGAGTTTTTTTTATTAAACATGATTTAGTAAATTTATTAAACATAGGTATGAATAATTTGTCATTAACTTTAAAATTATCTTGTAAAATATTCAAATTTAATAACAAAATAAACACAGCTTTATAACAATATTTATTATACACCTAAATATCTGTCAAACCGTTATTTAGTAACTACTACAATATCTGCGAGATTGTCAGGTTACTCTAACTTCCAAGTTAGATCATTGCGGAGGATTTATGAAATTTGGCAAAAACTCTGCTGCGTCCAATTGCGTCCTCGTGAATTAAAATTGACTTACAGAAATATCAAGCTTTTTTCCTAAAAAAATGTCAAATGATGACGCGCCTTTAACACTGGAAAAATTGGTTAGACGCAAGATTTTTGGGGCACAAAAAAATTTTTTAGAGCTTATTTTTGACTGTTCACTGATAAATGGACTTAAATAGAAATTTGGTGACTAAATACTGTCAAATATTTATTTAATTTGACATGACGGACAAATTTTGGGGTACTTCCATGATGTGGGTTTTAAGTGCTACAAAATAATTCCACATAAATAAATATAGATTATATTTCATTTTATATAAAATGATTTGTTATTGTATAATGCGTCCAAAAAAAAAATTATCGAATTTGATCCATTTTATGTCGATTCCACAAAATGATGATTGGCATGCAACATTGTCTGTTGTGTTATGCGTCCAAAAAAAAATTATCAAATTATATCGATTCTACAGCACGCAATCGCAACATGCCTGTTTTCTACAAAATAAGGGTTGTCACGCGACATGTCTGTCTGTCTTCTACAGAATAATGATTGTCACGCGACATGTCTGTCTACAGAATAATGATAGTCACGCGACATGTCTGCTATACAACTATGCAACTGAAGTTTTTAAGTTTTTTAGTTATTTTTCATTTTTCATTTATTGATTTTCTTAAAGAGAGTTGATAAAACTTTTACCTTAGGATTTACCTGGTTTATTTTTAAACATATTATATAAACCATTTCGTCTAATCTCATATTTCCTTCTATTGAACCCAGTGAATTCCAGGAACTTTACCCACACACATTTTACAATCGTAATATAATCGGAGTATCGGACATTAAATAAACAATCAAATTAGAAAAGCGGAATAAAACGAAACGTTAACAATAACCTGTACTACATTCTATCGCATATTAAATTTACTTCTCTGACAATAAAATGCGAACATCAATTTATCACGATAATATCGATAATGTATCTGAAATCTTAGCAAATTTTTTTAACAAATATACACATCCTCGCATTATAGACTGGTGTTTAACTAAAAATATTATTGTCGATAATAATACAAACGAAGTTTTAAGGCCGAAAGATTACAACTTCCAAAGATTTGTTGACGCAATAACAAGCCGGGATCTTGATCCTACTCAAATTACATTAATTTCTGACGTCCAAACATACGAACAAATTTTTCCTAATGACAGTATGATACTCGTAACTTTTATGAAATTCGTTCTTGGATTAACTTATCTTATATTAGACCAACCCAGAAATTTTAAACTTGAAGATGTTTATCCATTTATTGGAATTACGTATTTTGTGTACGACAAAATAAACAATTCCTCATTATTAAATTCAAATCTTAAGAATAAGGCTCTTATTCTACGGGACATTCGTAATTTATGGAGTATTTTCCTTCTTAGAAAGACCAATAGTCATACTAATTTGTAAGTCCAGTATCTCACTTTATTTTGTGATTTAATTTTAAACTAACGTACTTTATTCATTATAACAAATCATATAGAAATGGTGAATGGGATAATCTAATTTATTAACTAATTATAACTTTTTGTTCGATAAAATAGGGATTTATCACCTGCATTTAATATTATTGATGGTGGTACTTCTCGAACTTCAATCCCTTTATCACTTTACATTCAAAATCCATTAATTGAAGTACTTGGTTATGTAGACAATAGTATTTAATTATTTTTAATTATTTTTATTTATTTTTGATCACTTGGACATTTTATTTTTTTTTGAACTTCAGCAAAAAATCATTAGGTATTTCTTACTATTTTGCGTAAAGCAACCTAAACAAACCTACGCGTGAAACTTTGTATGAACTCGGTAAATTGTATATTTTTTTTCTGGCGACTTTTTACAAGGCTTGTATAATAAAGCACATATATACCACTTTAATTGTATTGTATTGTATTTGGCGCAAATTTCCAAATTTTTAAAAATAAAAAATAAAATAAATAATAAAATGAAAATATCTATTATAGGGGAGAGAATCACGTTCAATTTCTATATAAATGAAACCTACTAATAAATTGACAAATCATTGATTATTTTTAAAAATAAGGAATCATATATAACGTATATACAGTATAACGATTTACTTTAACAATTAAAGCATCGTATAATATTATAGAATTAACGCCAACATTTTACTTAATTAATTCTTAATCTATTTAAGTAATTCTTTATCTATTCATTATTTATTGTTTCGTATCAAAAAAAAGTGGAAAAAAAGATAAGTGAGGCGGCACCTTCCATTGTTAGTATGAATAGAGTCGGTTTATCATACTATGTATATACATATATATATCATTATATGAGTATTTTTTCTCTATATTTGCAACATGACAAATTAATAAAAATAGTTCAGCTTAAATTATTTTAATTAGTTATAGTAAATGACTTTGGATTTAACTATGTTTCTAAAGTACAATGTACAGTAAACCAATTTCAAGATTGTAGCATATTTAACAATTATACGCATATAGTATTACATGTATCATTTTGTGGTGTTAAAGAGTTAATTAGACAATTTGCTTTATTTAGACGTGTTGATGTTGAGATTAATAGTGTGGCATTATAGGGCAAGTCTTGCGAATGCAAATAAAATTGCGTAAAATATGCGCTTGTAAAAGATAGTAAACATAAAATAATAATTTTGACAATGCGGTTATGCATGCGTTTGTTATAAATAAAGCAAACTCAAATAAGGATAAACTTAAATTCTCCTTGTTTCAAATATAAAGAAATTATTGAAACTTGTAACACATGACAATTCTTACAGTTTGGGTGGCTCGAAAAAAAATTAATGCAGATTATTTCTAAAATGGAAATTGTGGCTTAATTACCAATGTGGCAGAAGTGTGGCAGATTGTCAACGTGATTTTAGACAGGCGCAGATTATAATAGTAACTAATAAAATCTATTTATATTTCTCATATGAGAATTTCTTATATATAGTTTTATAAAGTTTTAGAATTGCAGCCCTTTGTCTATATAAGTTTTGTTATGTAATCACTATAAATTGTCACATGAACCTTAACCATTCGACTTTAACAAAAAATATCACGGTCGGCATTTCATGAGAATTTTTTTTTCTTTGCATCAATATAAAATGTGAGTAAAAGCTTTTTTTGAATTACTTCTTAATTTCATCAAAGCGCTAAATTTTTTTTTTATTAACTATTTAGTATTTTTTTTTCTTTGTTACTTCGTTAAATTTATAAATACAAATTATAATAATCTTTTTCAATAATAATATCGGTTAAGTCTATTCAGAGATGTTATATATGAAAATCACGTTCAATTTTCTATAGCTGAACCTACTAAGAATTTTAATCAGAATCGGAATACATAAAATTAAACCCTATAAAAAAATTGGATACGTTTTTTATAAAGTTTTTATATGATTTTTTTCCTTAGAAATAACGTATCATAATAGGATACGGAAAAATGCACAATTCCGTATCACTAAAAATATGGTTTTGATACGGAATTTGCACGGGATTCATATGGAATTTACATGATTTGAACACTGATTTTATCACGAAATTTATACGATTTGATCACTGAATTTACTATTTGTACTACAGTTTACTATAATTGTATTTTCATAAATCTGATTTTACTTTATTAAATTAAATAAAAAATAAAAAAATAAACAAAATACAAAATACAAATACATTATGAAAAATCCCTCCATATTAAAACCACCTATTGCAACCAAAATCATCTATAAGTTCAGGTTCATTTTCATTTGGAGCCAAACAACCTAAAAAAACAAAAAAAAAAAAAGAAACATAAGAACGTCTAACTTAATTGGAAACAAAACCCCCCTCATATAGTATCTGCAATCGTCCAAGTCACCAAAGGTTAGTATTCCTACAATCCTACAAAAAAAGAAAGAGAACTCCAGAATGTCTGACCTACATAAAAGAAAAGAATTATAAAGCGTCTGATGAAAAAGAAACTAAAACAACAAAATAAATCCAAAACTGACCTACAAAAAAAGAAGACTCTGAAGCAACAAAACTGAAACAGCCTACAAAAAGAAAAGAATCTGAACCCCACTTACAAAAAAAAAAAAGAAAATTTGAACTGACCTAAAAAAAGAAAAAT